GGAATCCACAATCCAAGGAATATGAAATTGAGAAAAACTAGAAAGTTTACCTGCCATGTTGACTAATGGATTAGAATTAGAAGAATTTGTGATATTTGGTTGAATAAGGGAAAGAAGCTGTTGAATTTGTTCTTGAGTGAAAGGTTGGTCACAGTCTGAACGTAATGCCTCATGATCGACAGCTGCAACCATAGGTCTATTCTGCAATCGTGACTGCTGAGAATGAAACTCCCTAGTCTCACGCCTCTGTGGAAAATTAGAATTGCCTGGCTTTTTACGACAATGAGACTCAGAGTGACCATCCATCCCACAGAAATCACAATGATAGAAAGGTCTGGTACCCTTATTTTTGAAAGACTGACTCTGTCGATAGCCAAAATAAGACCTCTGCACATTACTTGCAGCCATGGCAGACTGCTCTGGGTAAGGTGGTTGAGAAAGTACTTGAATGGAGCGCTGCCTCTCATCCTGTAAAACCAAAGATAGTGCTTTTGTAACAGTTGGTAAAGGACTCATTACCAGGATTTGGCTCATCAAGTTGCTGTAAGATTCATTAAGTCCCATGAGAAATTGCATGAGGCGCCCCTGTTCTTCCAGTTGAATGATTTCAGACATAGTCCCACAAGTGCATGTAGGATAGGTGTTGTAGATAGACAACTCATCCCATAAACTCTTCAACGTGGTGTGATATGTTGTGACTGAATCATTTCTCTGCATATGATTCACAATGGACCTTTGAATTTCGAAAACACGTGGGGCATTATGCTGTGAGTACCGTTCCTTCAAATCAAGCCAAACTGCTCGAGCTGTCTTCATAAAGACCACACTATTAGCTATCTCCTTGGTGACAGCATTCAAAAGACACGAAAGAACCATGCCATTGCAACGTTTCCAGATAGTATATGTTGCTGATGTAGCACTTGGTTCTGGAATTGTTCCATCAACAAATCCAAGTTTGTTTTTTGCTTCAAAAGCCATAGTAATTGCACGGCTCCATGTGGGATAATTGTTCCCTGTCATTAGTTGTGTCACAAGTGTAGTGCCTGGCCCATCGGAATGATGCAGATAAAAGGGAGATGATGGATCTGCCTCCATGTTTGTTGTGCTTGTAAGAGGAGTTGCATTTTCTGTGGTGGCTGACATGGGATGAAAAATAGATTTCTGACTTATAGAAAGAAACGCAGGAAAGAATGCTCTGATACCATGATAAGTTTATGAATGGAATACTATTTCTGTATATTTCTTTGAAAAAGATCAGTACATCATATATATAAGGAATTACAGTAAAAGGCGGCTAAATCAACTGAGCTAAATCAGCTGAGAATCCTATTAAATAATAACTAAGAAATTCTATGAGATAAGTACAGATATGCCAAATATATTTTACATATACCAGATAATTTAAATAAATACCAGATATACTAAATCCATAATTATCTGTAATCTAAAACCATAATTATCTGCAATCTAAAACCATAATTATCTGCAATCCATAATTATCTCCAATATTACTCCTTCCCATTTCAGTTGCCGACCGTTACTTCCTTCTCTTTCACCCTTTTCCTTTTTTGCTTTCTCATTATCACTTCTACTACACACTACATTCTCTCATTCAGACTCCTAACTCCAAAAACAAGACAAAACAGCAGAAGAAAAGTGAGTTCTTTAATTCTTTCTATGTTTCGGAAGCTCTTTG